AACTGAGGATTCCTTTTGTGTATATAAAACCTTAAAAATTTCCTTCAACGGCCGTAAATGCTCATACGCATTGAGGATGATGGCTAGTACCGTGGAGCGTGTGTGTTTTATTATTATTTCAACTAATAAATTTTCTGACAATTTTCCTGTATTATTTTACCATCTTTGCCTTTTTTTTTGCCTCCTCTCTTATTCTTTGAATTATCTAACAAGTATCTCATGAGAGGCTGTCCATTGTTTGCAAGTCTGTCCATTTTTAGATTTTTCAAGATTATTTTGACATTGTTTGAATTTAGATCGATAATAAACAGTCAGTCAACCTTCATAGTGAGCTAGCAATGACCTACTTTGAGACACTTCCTGTTAATGACCATGACAATCTAGAATTATTTTTGAAATAATCGATTGAATGACATTGTTGTTTTGGAAGCATGCTTGTTGACTGTAAATTTTTTGCTGTCGTATTATGGATTTGACTAAATAATTGAACTGTTATTTAATTTGTAGTTTTTGGTAAATGAGCGAGGGGGGGGTTGGTACGGTAATGTATTTTGAAAACTTGTTGAAATAGTTAAGAAATTAAGTTGCTTAAAAATGAAAACCTCCAACCCTCTGTTCATAATAAACGCCAATTTTAAAAAGGTTTTCACTTATTACATAATACCCATCCGCTTTATCACATCAACCTGTTGTTATCTAATTAGTGGACCGATAACTTCTAATTGCTCCTACGCGAATTCCCCTTAAAAATGAAGATTCTAAACAAATGCACTGTTTATGTACGAAGAGTGAAGGGGGGGGGGGGGGGGTGAAATGGCATCAGTGGCCCGAATGGTAGAGCGTTGGCCTTCTGTGCCAAAGGTACTGGGTTCAATCCCAGCCCATGTCTAATTTTCGAAGCTCTTTTTCCATTTCACCGTTCTAGTTACGAAGCTCGGTTCGTGTGCTGGGTGTAGTTTTGAGGTCTTTGGCACAGAATCTGCCTCCTTTGCTAGGTATACAAGGAATTGTGACTAGGTACATTGCAGGGTACATCAGGTCTTATGACGTACTCGTGTCTTTGCAATGTGCAGAGCTTGCAAGTGGTTCGGATCCCACTATAAACTGTAGGTCTAAAGGGTGTGGTACAATAGATTCTGTTCTAATTTGAATCGCAGTGCCTCCAGCTGAAAGGCTGGGCCCTCCACACATTATTATTATTGAAGGGGGGGGGGGGGGGCGGAGGCGGAGCTATCTTTCATGTTGACTCTTTAAACAAATCGTTCAGCTTCGATCAACGAAGTTGGTCCAGTCCAAGTTTTCAGGCGCGTGGCCAGGTAAGAGGGGGGGGGGGGTTCGGGTAATAAATCCCCCCCTCATTTTTCCACCTATGAATTTTTTTGGTCCCACCAAAACAATCACAGGATACAAATGCAGCATCATAACCTGAATTTACATGCCAAACTCCCCACTAAATGCGCTACATATTAATGCTAAATTCAGTGTCCATATCTCGTTCACCTTCTTCTTACCGTCCTCTCCCTTCATACCTCATATATCTAAATTTAATATGAAAAATAAGTAAAATTATAAAATTTTATTATTATTCATGGACATTCTATCCTCATCTCATTCACAAACACAGTGATATGATGAGATAAAGGAAAGAAAATATAAATTTTTTTTCATAATAAAAAGAAATTTTAAGGCACAAAATAAGAGAAAGAAAGTAAGTGAAGGTGGTTCATCAAGAAGAATGAAATGGATAATTTATAGATATCGTTTTTAAAGGAGGGAAAATTTTTTACGTCTCATTTTTCGGAAATCTCTTTTCATTTCTTTCTTCCTTCCGTTTCGGATATGACTGTCATCAGGATTATGATAGGATAGTATGGAATAAAGATGAAATTGTATTAATTTTTTTTTGAATTGAAGCGGAATTGGAAATGTTAATTTAATTTGAACAAATTGAACGTGAAAATTATTTGAAAAATTCAAATTTTTTCAAGGTTTTGATTTTTAATTTTATGGTTTTAAAAAAATTTAATTTAAATTTCCTATAACCTTTTTTGATTTCAAATTTTGATCAAATGAAAATAATTTACTTTTATATTTGTGATTTTCTTAAACTTAAATTTAAAAAAAAAATTAAATTTGAATTTTAATAAACTTAAATTTCAAGTTAAAAAATAATATGCAAAGTATTTTAGAGAATTTTAAATTTGAAAAAGTTAAAATTTATAAACTTAAATTTTTTTCTTAAAAAACAAAATTTTAAAAAGTAAAAATTTAAAAAAAAATACTTAATTTTTTAAAATCTTTTATAACTTAACTTCCTCAAAAGATTAGTTTTTTTTTCTATTTGAAAATCTTCAAAATTCGTTGTTTAAATTCTTAAAGCTTACCCAAAAGCTCATCACCTTATTTAATATCAAAGGCTCATTCATCGCCTTATTATGAAAATGTAAATTAACCTATAAACATTTTTACATCAGTAAAACAACAAATATGATCAAAATAAGCTCTATGATAGACATTTCATCCTATTATACTTTATAATAATAATTATTTCAATGCATATTAATCTCAACATGCAAATCAGGTTTTCATAATTAAAAAAACATCTCATTTATCTGCTAATTCAACAAAGCTCAATCTCATTATATAATTTATGTACATGAAGAAGGAATTGCTTGTTTTTTCGGTATGAGAAAAAAATATAAAAATAATAAAAAAAAAAATTTTACGGATTTTTATTTTTATACATTTTTTATCATATTATGATAATGATGATATAAAAACGTGGAAAAAAGCATAAAAAGGATGAGTAGGAAGAAGAAACAAAGATATAAATTATGTATATTCATGAACGGTTATAGCGTTAATAATTATCATAACAGAAATGTGATGCTGTTTTTGTTACCTGCCATTCTTCTTATTATTTGTCTCGTTTATCTTCTTCTTAGTATGTTCCCTTTCTCTTTGTGAGTTGTGCTTTAAGAAAATTTAGCGTGAAAAATTAACGCAAAGGTCATGAAATGAAAACGAATGGAAATCCACGTGTAAAGGACAAAGACATGAAAATTTGGATGAATTTATGATGTTTTTCTGTCGTGAAAATTTGGATAAAATTAGAATTTTTTGAAGTATTAGTTGCCTATGACTTAACAGAGGGGTTGCTAGAGAGTCTGACTCAATAGACCAGCCACAACTTTTTAAGTCGCGTGGCAGTAAATCATCCGATCATGTTTTGATGCCACACTGGAAAGACACAGTTAGAACGTTTTTGTGAAACGGAGCTAAGTTTTAGAAGCACTGGCATAGACCAGTGATGGTCAACCCTCGGACCATGAATATGATGGGATATCCCTTAAACTGTATGATGTGTGCAGTTTTACATGGATTACTATCTGTGGTGCCGTGACACATAAAAGGTTGGCTACCACTGTCATATACCCTTCAGGACCCGCTTATAGCTTCAATACTCTTCTAAAATTTAGTATATTGTTGAAGATAGTTAAGAGAAGAGTCTATTTTGGTATAAAGGCAGAAAACTTATGAAGTCCATCTAAAAGTAAGTTGTAGAACCCCCTCTAACCCCCCCAAACCCCATGATAATATCTCAAAACTCTTCTCTCTTCTAATAAATGGATATAAATGTGAATAAATGTTTTCTACAAAATCCAAAAATTTCAGAAAATTACTCAGGATCATAAATTCAAATCAACTCAATTCAAAAGTATCAAAATATTTCCATCTAAAGCTCCTCCAAACGAAATAATCCAGCAAGTCATTTCAGCAATTGTTTCTATTATCGTATTTTAAAACACAAATATGTACACATAGAAATAAAGAAATAAAAGAATCTAATAATAATAATATAATATAATATCCACGAGAAGAATGTAGACAATAAAAACGTAAGATGAAGAAGAAAACATCAGCAATAGAATATGATGATCATAGATGCACGAGAAGAGGAGAAATAAAATATAAAATTATTACGAGTAACAAGATAAAATGAGATGAAGTCGTGCGAGAAAGTATCTTGTGGAATTTTTTTTTCTCTCATCTTTTGTTCTTCTTTCATCTCCAACCATCTCATCGTACAGTATTGTGTAAGACATAGAGCCTCTGTGATGTGTAGGAAGCGAAAAAGACGTTCAAGTTTGGGTGCGTTCGGGATTGGTTGGGTGCTTTAAGTGCGCACAATTTTTTTTGAGGTTAGATTGCAAAAAACTTTAAATTTTTTGAAGTTTGTAATTTTAAAAAAACGTTAAAATTCGAAAAGCTCGTTAAGTGGCAAAATGCGAGTCCTAACCTTTAAATTTCTACAAAATCCCGCTAAATACAAGAAGAAGGGAAGAAAAAAATTTTACGCGAAAATGTAATTTGCTCATGTAGATGCCAATTGAATATAAAAGTACTACTGGTACTTTCATCGCTTCCTTAACTGAATAGAAAATGTAATGAAGGTAGAGAAAATCGCGGAACATCAACCATCGTTTGCGAGATATTTGTTGAGCTTATTGCTTACAGAATGGTGAAATGAATTGTTTACATTTAAAAAAAGAAGTTTTTTTTTTCATACTTTTTAACCGAATTAAAGAAAATTCTCTTCTTCTATTTTCACATACCCTTCGTTATGTTCTCTCTATTAAGCCATAGATAGATATCTGTGGCAGTGTGATGGTAAAGCTTTCTTTTTTTTCTCTTACTCGATTCATTTTTCGGGTTTGGTTTGGTATTTTTACGGCATCATCAGAACGACGTGATAGCGATGGGGTTATTTCACATTTTGTACGCCCTTGTAAGGATTTTTTGGAGAATTTTGGATTGAAAATTGAATAATTCAGGAGATTTTGGTGGGAAAATGAGAAAATCAATAGGCAATTGAGCTAATAATGAATTAGGAAGCTTCAGAGTATTGTAAAAGTCGAATTGAAGATTGTTGTTGAATGATTCTTCATGAATAAGCAGTAAATATAACATATTAAAGGAACAAAAAAGTTAAAACTTACCTTCTAAGCTCATTTGAAAGTAAATTTCAGAGAATCGTCATATTAAACTTGTAATTCCGGTTTCAAAACACTATTTTTCTGTTGTTCCACTCACTAATTGATTTAAAACTGCAAATCACTAAATCTTCTCCATTTAAATACTGGTTTTTGTCTTAAAATTACATTTTTAATGCTTGCTGCATCAAATTTTCTAAGAAAATAAACGTTTGTTTTCAAAAAGTTGACTGCCCCTCAACTATGTAAAATTTGAAAATATATTTTTACCTTTACACAAAATTTTATCCTGAAATCAATCAACATTACTTAAAATTTATAATTTTTGCTTCCTTTTAAGCAATATTCCCAAGCAAAATAATCCAAAGGGATTGAAACACAAAAAAGCACTTTTCCAAGTGTTTATTTTTCATTTTCTTTTAACCCTTCTCTTCCTCCACCCACGCTCAAAATTATCTCCTCACTTGATTTTTATAGATGCCTGATGAAAATGATTTTAAATAGCAGAATTTATTTTACTTTGCGAAAAAAAGAGGGGATAAAAAAGTTGTTTATTGCTTAGTAGTAACCGCAAGTAAAATGAAAAGAATTTAAAACACACCCGCAAGATGTGAAAAGGCATTAGAAAGTGTTTTATTTACTCACTTTTATAGACGCGTTTTTTTTGTTTTTATATTTTCCAGCTTATGAACTTCCTTTTATCCTTCACCTTAGTCAGTTAAGTTGAGTTGATTTAATTATGATTTTTTTAAAACAGAGTTTAAGGGCTGTTTTGGCTCGTTTTTAACAGTCTGAAATTTTAATTTTTAAAAAGAAGAGCTTTTTTTAAAATGATTTTAATTTTAAGTTTTTTGAATTTTTAAGTTTAAAAATTTTGGGAATATTTTGAATCATAAATTTAGTTGAATTTTTTGAATTTCTAAGATTCCGTTATAATTTTGAATCTTAAAAGTCCGTTAAATAATTTGAACTTTACAAAACCGTTAGAACTTTATTTACGTTTTCAAATGCGCCTTTAACCAAAAAACAATAAAGTTCACTACTCATCTTAATCTCTAACCTATAATCCTCTTGCGTGAATAAAAAATTTCTTTTTACTTATGTAAAACGAGAGATTTCTATCAACTCTATAATTTTCTGTTTTGATATGCTAATGTAATCAAAGTTTACTTTTTCATAGGCTTTTTTTTTGACTTAACCTCAAAGCGTATATGTTGGAAATTTTATATCCATATACTTTTTTAATTAAAAAAAGTGTAAAGCAATCATAAAAGTCAAAATAAAAACTGTAAATAATAATAAAGTCACTTCATATGAGTCGAACGTTTCATCATGGATTTGCATGCAATTTTACTACTTATTATACGCATGAAAAACTTTATGGGATCTGATTTTCTGTTTGAAAATTATAATAAAAAGTTTAAACTATAATTTGCTTTAAGTTTTATGTTTTTTTATTACAAATTAGTGGTCGACACTAAGCATAAAGTTGATACTTGGATAAAAGTCAATTAACAGCATTAACTGTATATTTATTTTTAAAGAAACTTTTTATGTTCTGATTCTGTATCAAATGTCATAATCATTGATGCATAAAATGCAAATGAGGAAGGAAATTTGCGCGTAAAAAGCGTTGAAATAAAAAATATAAAAATGTGGAACGATAGAAAAGTTTGGAAAACTTAAATAGGTTAATCAAATTAGTGCGCATTTAATGATTTAATTTTTTCTATTTTAAACTTTATTTTTTAGAATTGAGAACTGATTTTGGAAATCTAAAAAAAATTAAAAAATAAATAATTTTTTGAGGTTAAGTTTCAAATTGTTTAAAATTATAAACTCAAATTTTTTAAATCCTAAAATTTTAAATAAAAAAAAACAGATAATTTTGAAATTTCAAAAAATTAGTCTTGAACTTTTTTCAAAAAATTAGAAATTGAGTTTTTTAAAAAAATTAAAATTTGAATTGTTTAAAATGCTTTTAAAAATAGCAAATTCAAAAAATAAAATATAAGCTTCTAGTTTCAAAAATATTTTTTTTTTAAAAAACAATAGTTGCCAAATTTGAAAATTTAACACTTTGTTTTAATTTAAACTAGGTTTATCACATTTAGCAGTTCTATACAATCCACTCTATTGTTTAATTTTATATTCATCGAATCAAAAATTTTAAAGTTTTGCTCGACACACAAAAAAAAATTGTCAAATATAAAAATTATGCAAAATGTTGATTAAAAGCATTCAGCATTCATAAACAAAGCACATAAATGGGTTTTCCAGTACTTCCATCCTTTCTTCATCATACTTTTCATAATTTTTTTCATTTAACATTTTCTTTTATTTGATCAAGTGAGTGAATGAAAAAGAAATTGTTGACAGAATGAGGAAAAGTTTAATCATAAAATGCATTTGCATAAAAAAAAATATTTTATTTCCTGATGTGTGAATAGCTTGAATGTAAATGTAGTTTATAAGAGTGAAAAAAAATCTTTTTGAAAGCGAGAATTTAATTAAAAAAGTTGTTGAAAAATGTATTAAATGAATTTTTTACTTTCTAATGTAAGATTTTGTAAGGAATAGAGTTAAAATATTTCTAAATGTCATTTTAATTTCAACTTCATGTGGATCTTAATATTTCTGAAACAATTTTTACAACAAAATTCAAATTAAATCCTGAAAATCTAATTTAAGTTCCAACGGTTAATAGCTTTTTGAATCTTCTAATGCATGAAGTTAACTTCTATAATGTAAAAATTCAAATTTATTTTGACCGTTTTTAAGCTTTTTAATTCAGATTTTTTAAAACTATATTCTAGTATTAACAGTTTACAGAATACAATAGACAATTCAGCATAGATTCAACTTCAACCTATTAAGCATTCAAAAAAAAAAATTCATGAGCAACCCTGAAAAACTTCACTATAAATTGGATGCAAGCGATTCATGATGAAAAGCATCAAGTCAACACATTTGTTGTTGCTAAAAACAGCAACTTCCAGACTCTTCAAATTCACTAGAAAATGTTGCACATTTTCAATATGCTTGATATGATTGTTATCCATGTAAATTTCTCGCAATTTCAAATTATTGTCGAACATTCTTCCATTGATCGACGTCAATTGATTGTTATCGAGAAAGAGAACTTCAAGATTGCGATTTTTGCTGAGCAAACGCTCATCAATATGTCGAATTCTATTTGACGAAAGCGACAATTGCTCGAGATAAATTTGATCATTGAACGTAGTCGCATGCAATGAATCAATTTCATTTGCTGTAAGCGTGAGAAACTTCAACGTTGTCAATCCTTTGAATGCATTCTCACTCACATCTCGAATTCTATTTTCTCTCAAATTCAATGTTTTCAACATGTCTGCACCGTGAAAGCAATAATCCTCTAATACTGTAATCGCATTGTGTGTTATGTGAACGTTCATTAAGCTCTTTGCTAGAATAAAATCACCGCGTAATAGAAATCTCAATGTCGTTGAATGAATGACGAGATAACGGAGATTCTTAAATTTTGTAAATATATCATTTGTTAGATGCTCAATTTTGTCTGTATTTTCAATTCGTAGACTTTGAACATCGCTATTTGTATAGTCAGGAAAATGTTGACCTTCAATTGACGAAATTCTTGCATAATTTCCATTCTCTTCATTCCATTCAGTCACTTCACAACTGTATGATTGCCACACAATGTCCGATTTATATTTGCATTTCAAAATTGTGCATGTTGTGATTAATATTAAATGGCAAAATAATAGCTGCAATCTGATGAATGTTCTAGAATGGGTGAGGAATAAATCATGAAAATTTATTTCTATTTTCTCAGCTTTCTGACTTACTTCATGGCTTTTTATTTTAAATTTTATAGTGGACAGCAACCACAACAATGAAATTTACATACACTAGCCGATTACTCAAGCTTTTATGAATTAATAATTTCAAAATATTACTAATTGATAAGGTCTCTCTTTTAATGAGATTATGTTCCAGTAGAATGAGTTGTAAGAGATTTATAGTAATTTTGTAGAGCGAAAATGTTTACTCGAGAATCGGAATCATCAATTTGAGTGTTTGGAACGCATTTGACAATGATTTGAAGTTGAAGGTTATGAGATTTTACAGAATTTCTTACTTAATAGGCTTTTAGAATCAAGAGTATTGCAAGGGGGAATCTAATGGCATTTAAAAAGATCGAATATAATCACAAATGATGTCAAAATTTGAAAAGAGCGCCAAAAATTTAAAATGGTGCGCAAAAATCCAAAATGGTGGCACAAATTCAAAATGGTGGCAAAAATTCAAAATGGCACCAAAAATTCAAAATGGCGCCAAAAATTTTAAATGACGCCAAAAATTCAAAATTGACAATGATTTGAAGTTGAAGGTTATGAGATTTTACAGAATTTCTTACTTAATAGGCTTTTAGAATCAAGAGTATTGCAAGGGGGAATCTAATGGCATTTAAAAAGATCGAATATAATCACAAATGATGTCAAAATTTGAAAAGAGCGCCAAAAATTTAAAATGGTGCGCAAAAATCCAAAATGGTGGCACAAATTCAAAATGGTGGCAAAAATTCAAAATGGCACCAAAAATTCAAAATGGCGCCAAAAATTTTAAATGACGCCAAAAATTCAAAATTGTTGTCACAAATCTAAATTAAAATGAGAAAAACTTCTTTGAAATAAATTTAAAGGGGCAAACGAATCAAACCATTGTAGTGCTGAGCTACTTTATCGAATTCCATGAGAACGCATTTTTAAATGCTCATAATAATCTTATTCTCTTATTCTCTTCCAAGAATCAATAATCTTGTTCTCAAATTGTTCACAAAACGCGTTTCGACCTTTTGACAAGATCAATACTAAGTTGCAGAATTAATTCTCTTTAAAATCTTCCTGTCGTGTGCCTACTGATCACAAAAAACATGTCAGCAAGACAAACTACAAAGACCATAACCCCAAAACTTTATAAAAAAGCTATAAAATTATTAGTTGCGAATGAAAACTTTTCCTTTTGTCATTATTTTATTATTATTTCGTTTTCCATACTGTTTGTGCCTTCTCAACACCCTTGTGACAATATTAAAACTAAAGCAATAAAAGCAAATTGACAGAAGAATAGAAATAAAAATGAGAATAAGAAGAAATTGTCGGAGGAGGAAAAAAAACTTTATTTCAACTTCATAAGAAATAAGTAGGAACATAGAGGGAGGAGAGCGTGAACTAGAGAACATATAAACAAGTAATAATGATAAAAGTTTTATTGTGTTTTGTCGTCATCGACTTAAAGGAACAGAAAAGGACCAGTGGAAGTTGATTCAACCTTCTTTATTATTATCATATATGAGAAAATGTCTTTAAGACTTAGTCTTGAGTGAAATTTGTTCGTAATCATGTTTAACATCTTCGCTCTTCATTACGCTTGTTAGTTTTTTGCTTTATTCTTGCTAAATGTTCACATATGTACACAGTTCAACTCACTTGATATGCTCAGACATCCACATCACAATGTTGAAAATATTACAAGGGGGGTTGACTGTAAATGATGTCTCAATTCACAAAATTTATGAACCCTCCCACCTACGATCCTTTCTTTCAGATACTCCTTATTTAAAAACTATCACAAGCTACTATTGCACCCGTCGTCATTAACCACACTGTTATTGTCAATTTCCCGTCTCCCCCTGATATCTCAACCCCCCCCCCCTAAAATTAAGATTAGTAAGATTTCTCCAGATTTTTCCAAAAATCCATAATTCTCTCCTTTTATGAAATCCATCATTAATTCAGAACCTTCCCCCCCCCCTCCCCCTTACCTCGCTGCTAACCACCAACACCCAAAAGCAATCTCCATCTCCTCCTTTATATCTCTTCTATTTTTATATTGTCTCGCAAACAGCAAATAAACATGAAGATTTTCACTTTATGATAGTTTCATGAAAGCGGGGTCCTCAAAGCATGAGACACAAGACTCGTTGCCATTCTATTCCTTTCGCTGAATTGTGCAATTTATGGTAGACTGAGAATTTTCTCTTTTTTTAGTATTTTACACAACATCTAATCTCTAATCCTATGACGTATATCGCTATAATGCTTTGCATTTGTAGACTGTTAGAGCCATGAAGGCTCACCAGACTGTGAAAAGAGAATGCTTAGCTGGTTTTGTGGGAGAATGAGGTTTTGTGGAGGTGTCATTTTGACTTGATATGAGATTGTAAAGAGTTTGTGGGATTTGAACTGTAACCTCTCGGACTTTAGAGTTAGAGATAAGTTTTCTGGTCAACTACCTAACCTCAAAGACAGGTAAGAGTGCTTCTAGTCCACAACCACTCGACTAAGAATGTATCCTTGAACTATAAAATTATTTGGAATCGTCCAAATTATTCGCTAATCAATGCTAAGCATAGTTTGAACTCAACATTGCTCTTAAAAACGCTGCATACCTTTTGATAAACAAAAGCATCCATACTGTACCTCTTTTAAGCTATTCTCATGGCATGACATGAAAAGATGTCTTGATTCTCTATCCCCAATTTTGTATGCATAGATTTTACATACACAATATACACATAGTTTTGTTGTACACACAAAAGACCAACTTGCTGCAGTTAGCAAGCAAACAACTATGGCATGATGATGATGATGTTGATGATGATTTTCGTACATGGATATAGACATCATATTTATGTAGACCAGTGCATGTAAAATGTTTCTCGAAGCCATTTCTACATAACAAAACTTTTTTTTAATCTCTTCCGTTTCCATGAACATCCGCAGTGCTTTGAGTTTTAGAGATTCCTTTATGTGATGAGGAAAAAAAGAAGCACGAAAGAATGAAAGAAAAGATTTTTTTGTTCATTTACGATGCGGTAAATTTTACAGTGAAAACTTTTTTTTTTTTTGGTTTATTCGATGACTAATAGCGATAAATATTTTGGTAAACTTTTCTGTAATTTTTTTTTGTGGAACTGAAAGCATAGCTAGTTGCTAGTTTAGCTTTTGATTGGATATTTTTGGACGATAAAGAGTGGAATTGGGAATGTTATTGAAATCGACCTAAGTCGTCGTTTTTTATTATTAAAATTTTAGGCAGACTAGGATTGGCATTTATTTGACATTTGATTCTGTGGTGCGGCCAATGGGCCAACTAAAGAAATTTAGCGCCTCAACATCCAATTCATATAAAAATTGTCAATAAAAAATCAGTTTCCCATGTGATTAGTTTACACTTGGGTTACACCCCCCCCCCCCCCCCCCTTCCCCCCAACAAGGGAAATTGTCAATTGTCATTATTTTTGTAAAGATGTGAATGAGGAATCTAATCAAGATCCTCATTTTTGTGAAAAGGGATCAGTACATAGTCAAAGAAGGAACCAGAAGAACTTACGAACAAAACATAACCTACAATTATTTAAAAACAATGCAAACAAAAGACATTTAAAACAAAAATACAGCACAACAAATCAAACTCAATAAACCACAGACTTTTGCCAATCAATCATCGAAAATAAGCTTGAATGTTCTCAATTCAGCCAACAATAAATCACTCTAATATCATTATAACATGCAGATATAAGTTTTCATTGCATTTATTTACTGTCATAATGCACAGCTTTCAGCAAAATCGATTTAGTTGTTCTCTTTATTTTATGAAAGAATCTCTCCTTAAGTCATAAATGCATGAAGAGGAAAACTTGAATTTATTCCAAAATCTTTTCTATTTTAATTTTTGTTTTCCTAGAAATAGATATAAGCAGATAAATCATATATCGACAAGCGAGGAATGAAAGAAACGAATAGAAAAATTGCAGAAATTATTTTATCTACCTTGAAAAAAGTGAGCATATATGAGAAGTTGTTTGCAATGGCATGAAGAGCATTGATTTATTTTTCCTAAGCACATACACAAATCGATATACTTTTCATTTTTTTCAGCTTTTTTTTAAAAAAAAAACAACAGTGAGGATAAAAACTTTCCACTTCCTACAAACTTTTGTATTTTTAACCGATTTTCTTAGTGTGGATGCTTTGCATATTGGACTATTGTGTACCTAAGATGAAAACTTAGACAGTAAAACCGAAAAAGGACAGGATTTTAAAATTTCGCTACAGTTTTTTTTAGGGAAAATGTGAATTTCTTTTAAATTACACAGTATTAAGACTTTTGTATGATAAAATAAGATGCTTGCCACTTTTTAAAGCCAGAAAACCACCATTTTTGTATAAATTATTCTTTAGTTTAATCAAAAACGTCGAAATATTTTTTCAGGTGAAGAAAAACACGTGTTTTTGAAAAAATCCGAAAATTTAAATCAATTTTAACCGTTAAACCATATGTTTGCTTTAATCAACCAAATTTTAGCAAATAAATACAGATAAACTTAATTTGAAGTAAACTTGATGAGTTTTGCAAACATTCCGATAAAACTGCGCCTATAATTTAAATTTTCAATGCATTTTAAACTCAAATTGTTTCTCTATCGTAGCTTTAGCTTAACTGCTTATGCAAAAATGGATTTTCATTTTCGTTGTTTTCTGTAAAATTTATGGCTGTGCAATTTTTATTCTTTCTTTGTTGTTGTTGTATTATCCTCTCCAAAAAGAAGAAGAAAACTTTTTTTTCCCAGTTCTCCTTCTTTAAAAAAGAATTATCGATACATCCAAAAAATAATGCTCTCTAGAAGTTGAAAAGAACAAGAAGAAGAAGCAGCTAAAAGTATTAAAAAGTGAAATAAAAAACTTTTTAACAATACAAAAAAAACGAGAGAAATTTATACATTTTTCCGCAATCATATAAACAAATCTCACGGAACGAAACGGAATAAGAACTTTGTTGCTTTCGCATAAATTTAAAATTCGATAAGAAGAGATTAAAATGAAATAAAATAAAATAATTCAAAATTCAAAACAAAAATATTACAAGTGAGTTCA